AAAGCAAACTCCATTAGAGGAAAACGATGTCCAGAAGTGGAAAACAAGGGTCAGTACAGGTAAACAAAGTGTAGAAGAGGAAAATAAACTCCAGAAGAGGAAAACGATGCCCAGAAGTGGAAAAAAAAATTCAGAAGAGTAAAATAAAATCCAGAAGAGTAAAACAAAATTCAGAAGAGTAAAACAAAGTTCAGAAGAGTAAAACAAAGTTCAGAAGAGTAAAACAAAGTTCAGAAGAGTAAAACAAAGTTCAGAAGAGTAAAACAAAGTTCAGAAGAGTAAAACAAAGTTCAGAAGAGTAAAACAAAGTTCAGAAGAGNGAATGGAGAGGGCACCCACCAGTAAAACAAAGTCCAGAAGAGGAAAAAAATAAAGTCCAGAAGAGGAAAAAAATAAAGTCCAGAAGAGGAAAACAAAGTTCAGAAGAGGAAAACAAAGTTCAGAATAGGAAAACAAAGTCCAGAAGAGGAAAAAAATAAAGTCTAAATGAGGAAAAGGAACTCCAAAAGATGAAATCAGAGTTACGAAGAGGAAAAACAAAGTCCAGAAGAGGAAAACAAAGTCTAGAAGAGGAAAGCAAAGTCTAAGAATACGATACTAGTTTATTAGTTAGGTATTTAATTGGTTGCCTACATGAAACAACCCAGGCCGGATGTATGCAATGCACTATTTAGTGCTTGAGGTGTGTATGCAAGTATGCACAGAGATTTATTTGTGTGGGTTGCTATTCAATTGGAGATAAATGATTTTTGACTTCATTCAGTCTCTTTGTTATAGCTTGATTGTCTATCTGAGTATCTGTATAAATATATCTATCTATTTATCTATCTTTCTCACTCAATAATCTATTTGTATATATCTACTATCTACCCTATTCAATGGGAATTGGAATGTAAAAATCAACAATCTAAAACTTGATCTTTCTGAATCTCTCTCTCTCTCTCTCTCTCTCTCTCTCTCTCTCTCTCTCTCTCTCTCTCTCTCTCTCTCTCTCTCTCTCTCTCTCTCTCTCTCTCTCTCTCTCTCTNGCCTTCAACCCTCCTCTCTTGTTAAAATTATATATGATTAAAAAGCAATAATGTACAATTTATTAGAAATAATGCCATATTTTATGCTTTAAAACAAATAACAGAAATATAACTTTTAAAAAGTGTAAATTCTATAAATCATGGAATTTTATGTAACGAAAATACTAGAAACATTTAATAATATTCCCTCTAATGAATCCATTAGTCGATTTTTTGTATGATTTACTGATCGAAATATATATGCACGAATGTGTAAAGTAACACATCGAATTGGCATGTCATGATTTCCTTTTTATATATATATGTGTCTTGTCAGCACTCAGCAGTCTCTTTACGCAAGTATTGCACAGCGTGAGTAATGATTAAGAGATGCAATTGCACAAAAATAAAGTAAATTTCACGCAACATTGAAATCTTATATGTTTTCTATCTTAACTCCTTTAATAGAAGAGTTAAAAAGAACAAAAAAGGTTAAATTTCTATTATGTATGAATTTTACCTTCTTCTCCTTGATTGTGTCTAGTTTGAAAGGATTGCGTACTTTTAAGGCAGAAAGTAGGTTTATAAATTAAAAATATAAAGTTGATTTGTTAAACATTTTAAAATGCAAGGTGTACTGCTAATTCTGTACAGTGTACAGTTTTATCTGCACAGTGTATAGTGAGAACCAGAAAACTCTGGAATAGGAAGACGACTTTAAGACTAAAGTTATGACTTTAAATAGCTCAGTGAACATGAGACACAGCTATTTTACAGTGTAAATAGATCCATTCCACGCTATTTTGGATTTAATAAGTTACTATTAAAGCTTTTTGCTTTGTAACAACATTAAAGCCCTTAATTAGCGTTTTAATGTCGTCTTCCTCTTTTAGAATTTTCTGGTTCATATTGTATGTACATATTGCATGTACATATTGTATGTACATTGTACAATGTACAATGCATGCAGTGTATCTTATAGTGTAAGATGAAGAAGAGAAATTTCCTCTAAGATTACCCTGTTAGATTGGCAATCAAGCTTAGGGCTCATGGGGCTAGGAGGAGACCTGAGCTATAAGCTGCAAAAACCAGCAAAACCATCCACCATTATTATTCAGCATAATAATTCATGTACACTGTCAATTCTCAATATAGGTGCCAGTCTTTATATTCAAGCAGTGCGGCCTGAGAAACCAGGCAGAAGATAGATCGATACAATGATTCGTCATCATTCGGACAGAAGCATGAGTAGGGGATAAGAAGGGGGGGGGGAACATATTTCTCCAAAAAAATTGTCAATATATTTAAGATAATGAGGAGAATGATAGTCAAATCTATGTATATTGAAGAATTATTATGGTTAAGGATAAAAGGGTTAGAGAATGGTATAGTCATTATATAGTCAAGCATAAATATTATGCATATGTGAGGTATATAAGGAATGTTGTAATAAATTAAGTTGGGTAGTCAAGTGATGGTAAGGTTCAAAATAGTTTTTATTAGATGTTGTCCAACTATTTGACGTAATAAATAAAAAATAAATGCAAATAAATTTTTTTAATTACAAACCTAGCCCCAGCAAAGAAGCATCTTTTATAATTGTAAATTTAATCAAATTCAAGAATAGGTATTTGAAGTTGAGTTGTCATAACAAGCAATGAATCCGTTAAAATGTGTATCAAATAATATTTCAGGGTAAAAGGGTAAAGGGAAAGGAAAAGCACTAGGAATGATACTGCATTAAAGGTTATCATGCAAACACTACGCTAACGAGTTGGAACTAAAAGATGAGCATTGAGAATGCAATATGTGGCCGGCAAGGTTTGAGCTAGATGGGAGCATCAGGATGGGGGGTGGGGGGAAGATTATTAAACTG